TAAAATTGTGTGCCTGCTACTTCCCAACTGCCTTGTTCTGAGCTTTTCACCCATTACCAGCTGCAGGTCATCCATCTGGCACTTCAGGTAGTTCCTGGTCATCTAAACCTCCAGCTAACTTAAGTATTGCTCAGTTGCCATAAATCAATTTAAAACTGTAAACGATGCTAAAAGTATTACTAACTTTAATCCTTTTTTTTTTTATAATTACTATATACAGTTTCCTACATTTGCTTATGCAAGACGAATGTTTTAAACTACTGAAAGAATGAGGACTAAATGACAAGTCCACATACTTGACGCAGATTGCTCACAGACACAAGGTGCAAAATATGATAAAGAACAAGAACAGGTTTCAGTGATCCGAGCCAGAAAACAAAAAAACAAACCAACCCACACCATTCTGAGCAGAAAAGAGGACTACTTTGTGATTATTAAAACAGCTTCTACCCAGGCCATTACACACAGCCTGATTTCTATTTTGACAAGTGGTTTGGTTATTTGTTTTTATATATATATACACACACACACATATATAAAAATATATATTAAATATATATAAAATGCCGTTATAATCAGGAAAGGCCTATTTTACCAGTATGTTATCAAAAGCATTCCACTGCCTTTGAAACAGATATTTCAAATTAGTAACATATTTCCAGTACCTTCATTAATATTAAAAAATGCCCCAAACCTCCAAAAGTCTTACTTTCTCATACAAGAGTTATAATTTGCAACTTTACTCTTTGCAAAGTCTGTTCCCTGACAAAAAAGGAACATCAGGAGAGCACACAAGTTGGTCATCTTCCAAATTTCATAACATCTTTTAACTTTAATGGCAGCTGACCAAAATCTTCAGAACTGCTCCAGGCTAAACCCCATTCTTATTCTCTGTAACTTACTCCAGAATTCCTACTCAAAGGCAATGCTGGGAGCAGCAGTAAATGCTGGGTGTGGTTAGCAGACGCTGGGGCAGGTTTGTCAGCAGTTCACATCTTAAGGACAATCAAAACTCGACCACGCAAAGTGATAAATTTCATCCGCAGCCCATGCAGGAACCCAGTTACTAACCAACCTGTGTATCCATCCATCCGTCCACACCCCGCCATGCTCCTGCTGCAGAGGTAACCAGCAATTTCATTCAAGCATCTTCACCAGCAACCATAACTGAGCAAGTCCTCTTTTAAGCAATGGTGAAATCAAACCTTTAAAATTAGTCTAGTGCCATCAATGTATTATTTTTCTTGAGGGGAAAAAGGTCATATTGCAACAGCACAAAGTAATTTCAACTATTATTTTCACCTGTGATGTGGGGGAGGAGGGGAAGGGACGAAGAGAGATGTCCGTCTGGCCCGGAAAACAACAGATTCTCAACCTTTTTGTACTATTTTTGAACCACTACCAGGTAACAAAGCTACCGGCGTTCTCTTAAGGCTCGTTCTTTCATCTAAAGAAGTTAACAGCATAGGTTTTATGATACAGAGAACACAGGTTCTACATCTCTGCAACACATTTCCACCAAAAATATCTATTCATACAGATAAGTAATGGTAGGAAAGTGCCAGGGTGCCAAGAAAATCATCCTGCAACAACATGGATCTTTTCCTTAAGAGCTCAAAAGAAAACTGAAATTGGCAGTAATATGTCATATGCTAAAACTGAGCTTTCACTGAACTGAGTTTTCCGGGTTTCTATTAAATCATGATGCTGGGACAAAGCTAGGACTCTACAAGTCAAACTTGGACCCAGCATTAACAAAGAAAAAAAGACCTGAAATCTTTTGCAAAATATAGGAGGCTTTTATTTCTTATTACCTTGAACGTGTTTTCTAGTCAAGCGCTAAAACTGAGCTTTCACTGAACTGAGTTTTCCGGGTTTCTATTAAATCATGATGCTGGGACAAAGCTAGGACTCTACAAGTCAAACTTGGACCCAGCATTAACAAAGAAAAAAGACCTGAAATCTTTTGCAAAATATAGGAGGCTTTTATTTCTTATTACCTTGAACGTGTTTTCTAGTCAAGCTCTGAGAGCCAGGCTGAAGGGCTCTCAATTGCCCCTGGTTAAGTTTGCCAGGTCCCCAGCCACCACCCTTCAAGCAGCACGCTTCCTCCTCAGAGATCCCCATGAGACAGCAGTTCATGCCTAGTCAACAGACGGGAGGCAGAAGAGTGCCTAGGCTCTATTTTAGA